GATATAATTATATATAATATGTTTTGTATATATATAAAATGTGTATGTATGTATGTGTGTGTATATATGTATATAGATATAGATAGATATATGATAGATGATACATAGATAGATAGATAGATAGATAGATAGATAGATAGATAGATAGATATCTGCCCCCAAAATCCAGAAGCACAGAAACCAAAAGTTGAACAGTGGTTACTTTAAAGATTAAGAAGTGTTTTCTTTCCTGCATCCATGCATTTTTCCGCAGTTACACTTAGAATCTGCAAACCCTTTTTTAATGACAACCTTTTTTCATTGAATTTTAATGAAGTCTTTTCTGGGGTTGAGTCAAGGTGTTTTCCTCTGTTGAGAAAGTGGACATTGTTAAGCATTAGCAGTTCATAATTCTTCTTCCACCCACAATGATGAATAACGTGTGGTTACTGTAACACTGTGCTTCACAAGCCTCGCAGCCTGAACCGAACCCAGATTCTTTTGAAGCGATGTAGATCCCACCAAAGCAGTTATTTAATTCTCTGACTCACTTTCACGTACCTTCAACATCATTAGCATCATCACAGCCCTCACTTTTCTTTGAGCACGGTTAACCAACAAATTCTTTAAAGCTGGGCTTTATAAAAAAGAACTTCCATTTGAAAAGCCTCCCAAACCTGGAGGAGGCTGGCAGGACACAGTCAGAACGTGAGGATTCAAATTTCTGGACTACAAAGTTCGAGCAGAGTGTGGGGATCCTTCTTTTCTGTTCTTGTTTTCTGAAAGGATCTTCGCTCCAACTCAGATTCATTTTTCTTCACATCAGCTGCAAGAGAGCAAACAAATTTTGCTGCAAATCAAAACCCTGACAGTTCTATTTCCCTGAGATAATTGCATACTGCTTGGGAGTTTCCTTTTGTTTTGACAACAAGATTCTGAGAAAACAATATACAATTGATAACTATGCTGTCGTGAGTATACTGAATTTTAAAAATAAATAACTGTCGACCCAAAAAGCTTCCAGGAGCCTATGGAGTGAGTTCTTTTTCCAAACTGTTCCAAAACCAGATGTGGAAATGTTTAGCTAATTCCTCTCCCCAATCCCCATGCAAAGGGTTCATATGTGTCTCTAACGACATCAGAGGAGATGGGAAGGCAAAAATCCTGTCTGCTTTCACAAAACATACACAGCACAAAACGAATTTGGTCTGCAGCTTTTGTCTCTTTTAGAAAGGGTCTTTTCTTCCCAAGATTAAAAATGCTCCATGTCTATGCCAATATTCAGTCTCTTTCTTGTAAGACATTAAGAAATAGAGTTCCTGTTCCCAAAGTGAAACATTTCATGATTTTTCTTAAATGTGAAAGATAATGAATGAATGAATGAATGAATGAATGAAAAAGATTTATTAAGAATTAGGTTTATTAGGGAGTTCTTGAAAAAAAAATAAAGGCAAGGAGGAAAACTCTGTCCAAGGAACTAATGGAAAATATATATGCAAAGACCACATTTAGAAAAACAGAAAGCTACTGTACTCTGTAGCTGCAGGGAAAGCAAACATTTTGCATCCAGGTGCCACTAGCAGCTCTGGGTTAGTGGGCCTCTGCAGCTCGGCTCAGGACGGCTTGTACCAATAGCAGAGCCCTGCTTGGCCGTATGAATGCACCAAAGCTCATTGCTTCTGGAATGTCACAGGGATAATTTGCAATCAAGTCCAAATGGGGCTATGGTAATGCAGTCACTGAGAACTGCTTTCTAAATGCCTCACTTCCTCCTCCCTTTGCCTCCTCTTCCTCCTCCTCCTCCTCAAGAAGCTGGATAGTAGTCCCAAGGTGAGCACTCCCTTCTCTGCATTTATTTCTTCCTTGTCCTCAGCTCCCCTTAACTCGGAAGATTTCTGGAGACTTTTAAATAGGATTCTGTCCACAGCTCCAGGGATGCTGTGCACAGCCCCAGTGATGGCTAAAAATACCTTACACTTGGCACCCCCCGCACGCACACACAACCTGCTCTTCTGGTGCCCCTTCCCATCTGTAACCCCTCAGCCTTCTTCTTCCTCTTTTGCCAACTACCCAGAGCCCACCCTGTCCCTTGCCTGTCAAATCCCATTCTGCCAGCAGGCCTCAGCTAGAAGTTAGGAAAGCCAGCTGATTGGATGGTTTCGCACTGTGTTGTGAATGACTTGTCACCATCCCCCAGCACGAGCGCGCGCGCGCGCGCGCGCGCGCGCGCGCACACACACACACACACACACACACGCATGCATGCACACACACACCGCCTCTACCCCAGCCTGGGAATTGTGGGCAGCAGGAAAGGGGAGGCTGCCCAGTTCTGATGATCTGTACTCAGCAAAACGGAGTGACTCCTGAAGCGTGGCACTGAGCTAGGGTTATCAAGCTTATTAGCAAGAACATTCTGCTCTCCTCCTGGTCCCCCACTCCTCCCTCTCACCTCAGAGATGCGTAGTCTTGAACATGGGTCCCCCTGACTCCCATTTTTAAGTTTTATCTGAGCTCAGAGGTAGGTTGTCACACACACAGGCATCCTCATGGATTGCCCCCTTGTGTGGCAATCTGTTCCTGGCTGTGAAAAATCAGAGAAAAGAGAGACTGTCCTGAGTTTAGAGATTGGTACTAAATGAACCCCTGAACTCAGCAATGTTACTAAACCCCTTTCTTCAAGATTGATTCAGTGCAAGGTCATTCAGAAAGTGGATGTGGAAGGTGAGGTGGTCCAAAATGATTGGTCAGGGGGATGACTGTTTTGTTTCTCAGAGACTCTGGGCTTTTTATAACCCTGTTGGGATTACTTGTGAGAGGGAATGGCAGGGGAGCAGATAGGAAAGATGCTTGAGAAATGGAAGGCTGGACTCCCCGGACAAGAACTCAGCCTTAAACTTGGGTCTCAGTTTGGGGTTTGGACAACCAACATGGAATAGAAGGATTGTTTCTTTGGCCCAATTCCAAGAACTCCTTAAAGGGCAGGTATTTTTTGTTCAGGGCAAATAGGTCCCGGCTATGAGATGATATTAAGGACAGGAAAAAAGAGAGAGGGGGAGAAAGCCACTCCTAAAACACACTCAGGGTAGGATGGGCTCCGTTAGACCAGGACCAGAGTGGATAGCGCGGTGGTGATGGAGAGATGAGCTCAGCGAGTACCGCATGTCATTCCGGAGCAAGCGATCTGTTTGTATAACTGTTGAGTCATTATCCAAGAACAGCTGGCATTGGAGTGGACTTGTGTTTTGTTGTTGTTGTTGCTATTTTATTTTGTTTGTTTTGTTTTTTTGGAGGGGTAAGAGGGTCAGTTTCTCTGTTCATTGCTGCTGCTTCTATTTCTGCTTTGCACAAGACAAAAAGGCAGTCCCAGGAGAGACATTTCAGAACAAGCCAAGAAGGAAGGAAGGAGATGGCTCTTTACACCCAACAAGCCCAAGAAACTGAGGAGTCATGAATGAGAAACATGGGGAGGCCCAATCGGTACCAATCAGATCAAGTGCCTGAGTTAGAAACAAAGTCTTTCATGCAGGCCACCGCCCTTTTCTAGTGGGTTCATTATACCATGGTTTCCATCAAAGAATGTAGCAAATTCATCAGTTTCAAAGGAAAGGAAAGAGCTGCATTTTTGCAACTGGGGAAACAGGGAGGATAGAAATGCCTCGGGATGCTTTTGAGTACAGTGCCGTGCATGTAGTAGGCACTTAATAAGAGTCAAAGGATGGGGATCCCTGGGTGGCGCAGTGGTTTGGCGCCTGCCTTTGGCCCAGGGCGCGATCCTGGAGACCCGGGATCGAATCCCACGTCGGGCTCCCGGTGCATGGAGCCTGCTTCTCCCTCTGCCTGTGTCTCTGCCTCTCTCTCTCTCTGTGTGTGACTATTATAAATAAATAAAAAAAATATTAAAAAAGAGTCAAAGGATGCATTTGTATACACAGGGGTGACTTAACTCATCAGGGAACAAAAGTAAAACCTCACGCTTGCGCAGACATTTCCTTCAAAAGTTTAGGTTCGTTTCTATTTGATGTCATTTTCACTTTTGAAATGAGAGCTGAGTCCAAGAATATTTGATGGTGTTCCTCTTCCTTCCTTCTTGCGTCATTTGTCACCTCCTTCTCATATTGTGGGGTTTTTTTTAAAAGATTTTATTTATTCATGAGAGACCAGAGAGAGAGGCAGAGACACAGGCAGAGGGAGAAGTGGGCTCCATGCAGGGAGCCTGACGTGGGACTCGATCCCAGGACCCTAGGATCACAACCTGAGCCGAAGGCAGACTCTCAACCGCTGAGCCACCCACGTGGTACCCCAGACTATATCTCCTTCTCTGACTTTTATTAACTCCTGTTTGTCTCTAACCAACACAGGACAATAGGGAGGAGTCTGTTTGTGGCATATGAGAGGACACGGAGGCCCTTAAAGAGGGCAGTGCTGCCAGCTTGAATTAAACTGTAACTCCTGTCACCTTAGTTCATGTGTGGCATGAAAAACAGTTTCATTTCCTTTGTTGGGGTTGCACACAAAGGGATGCCATCACTGACCAGTGTTGACTCTCATTCTGAAGATGAGGGACATGTGCTTTATACTGCAACAGTGTGGCAAAGCCACTTAGAGAAGCTGCTGTCACCATCTAGCAACACGAGTTCCAACAATGCATTTAAAATCCTGTTCTCTCTCACAAGAAGGTTTTCCTTTTCTTTGTTTTGTTTTCAGTTTTATTGAGGTATAACTGACAAATAAAACTGTAGGATATTGAAAGCGTACAACGTGATGGTTTGACATACGTATGCATCGTGAAAGAATTCACCCAGTCGAGTTAATGAACACATCCATCACCTCACCTTTTTTCCATTTAAGTTCTCCTCACTTCACCTTTTGAAAATACTTGTTTTAAAAGGGAAAAATGATTGTGTTTGAACTTTCAATAGGCAATAAGATGATTGACCTTTTGTGTTTTTGTGTGCTCTAGAAATCCTCACCTGACAGCATCCTGATTCCTGAGAGTCGTTACCTGATCAACTACAAGGATGAAAGTTTTCGAGTTGATAGGAGGGATGGTCATCCTTGCCTCTGTGTTCTCAGCCTGTTCCACACAAAGCCCAATGACTGTACTGTGCTCTATAGACTGGTTCATGGTCACTGTCCACCCCTTCATGTTGAATAATGATGTGTATGTACACTTCCATGAGTTACACTTGGGCCTAGGGTGCCCTGCCAACCATGTCCAGCCACATGTCTACCAGTTCACCTACCGCGTTACCGAATGTGGCATCCGTGCCAAGGCTATCTCTCAGGACATGATTATGTACAGCACTGAGTTGCACTATGCTTCGAAGGGTACCTCTTCTAAGTATGTGATCCCAGTGTCATGTACTGCTCCCCAACGGTCCCCATGGCTTACTCTGCCCTGTTCTGTAAAAGTAGCCAGTGAGGCTGGGGCCACAGCCCAGAATGGTGAGGCAAGCTACGAGGTGTTCACCTTGTCACAGTCTAGCCAAAGGCCCGACTGCGACTGTCCACCTTGTGTGTTCAATGAAGAAGGGCATGCCCAGGCTGCACATCACCAAGTGGAGGATGAGGAGGGCCAGCTGGTGCTGCCATCTTCCTCTGTTGATATTTCCGAGGATTGGTCTCTTCGCTCAGACGATCTCCTTGAGTCCATGTGATCCCCAGGTTTGGTCTGGGGGGGTCTCCTGTAGATAGATGCTTTTTCTAACATTAGTATAGAGTATTTTTGAATATCAGACAAATGTGTTTTGGAAGCCCCCTTATGAGTGCCTTTGAGAGAGGGCAGTTCGTGGTTGTTTCTTGAATAAAGCTGTTTTATATTTTTATATATTTTTTAAAAGGAAAAATAAAACTTTGGTGGTATAAAAATATTAGTTCAACATTTTGATTTAATAAGCACATATATAACTTTTGCTATGGGCCACAGTGTTCTCAGGGCTTCACAAACATTAGCACCCAGTCTCTTCTGTCTGAAGCGACTGGGCTCTGCTCAACTGAATCCTTCCCTCAGTGTCCCCATTTCACTCACACTATGCACCTCTCAACCTAGCACTGAACCTCACACCTTCTTGGTCTGATCAATGGCTGTACCACTTTTCATTCACGGGAGGCATAGATTCCACTCGTGATTTATAAACCACCAGTGATTCTAAGGATTGCTCGAGTCACGTTCCACCAACTTGATGGTAAGCTCCTGAGGCCAAGGGCTGGATCTTCTATTTAGTCACAGACCAGTAGTACTTTGGAAGGAGTTTTGTTCCCTGACTTATGTGATCAGCAAATTTTCACCCAGGTTTGGCTCTCCATTAGCTTTCACAGACCCTCGGAAGGGAAGAGGTGAGTAAATATATTCAACAGATATTCACTGAGTGCTACTACATGTCGGGTACCATTCTTGGCACTGAGATGTGACAGTTAATAGAAACTGAGACCCAGAGAAATTGAGGTCACACAGGTAATAAACAAACGAAGAGCAAACAGCAGTACGTCCAGATAGCAATGAAGGCCATGAGAAAGCTTGAAACCAGGTTGTACAAGAGTCGCTGGAGAAGGGATCAGAGCAGTCTCAGGGACTCCGAGGCCTCGTCTTTTGAACTGAATCTTGATGTGAAGAAGGAGCCAGCCCTGGGATGATCTGAGAGAACATTCCAGATAGTAGCAGCATCTCATATAATCTTCACTACAACCTTGATCCATTTTACAAATAAGGAAACTGAGGCACAGAATGATTAAGTGACTTTCCCAAGGCCACACACTATTAAGAAGCAGTGTTAGCACAATGTGCATGATACTATACACAACATGTATGATACTATACACAATGTCTATGATAACATACACAATGTGCATGATATTATACTCATTCAGCAGGTGAGTAGAAATTCAGTCATTGTCTTAGTCTTAAGGCTGCTCTAACAAAGTACCATAGATGGGGGACTTATAAACAACAGACATTTATTTCTCGTGGTTCTGGAGGCTAGAAATTCGAGATTAGGGTGCCAGTATGGTCAGGTTTTGGTGATGCACTCTTTCAGGTTGCAAACTGATATCTTCTGGCTGTTTCCTCATGTGGGGGAAAGGCATCAAGAGAGCTCTCTGGGGTCCCTTTTGTAGGGCACTAATCCCATGCATGAGGGCCCCACTTTCATGATTTACTCACATAGGGGCTAGATTCAAACACATCAAGGGCACACATTCAGTCCATTGCAATCATGGTAGTTGAAGAAAAATCTCGTTTAAAAAGCTCCTGGCCCCTTGGGACACCTGGGTGGCTCAGTCAGTTAAGCATTTGACTCTTGATTTTGGCTCAGGTCACGATCAAGTCCCTGGTCTGGCTCCACACTCAGCACAGAGTCTGCTTGTCCTTCTTCCTCTGCTCCCTCCTTCTCTCTCTCTCTCTCCCAAATAAATAATCTTTTAAAAGAAAAGCACTCCTGCCCCTTCCTGAGGAAAACCAGAATGTAATCTCTGAAAACATTCATTCAACCAACATTTCTTGAGCTTGCCCTATGTTATAGGCATTGTATTAGATGCTGAGCATGCAGTGGTGAACAAAACCAACAGTCTAAGCAGGAGGAGGCAAGTAAAGAAGCCTAGGGAACTGAGGCTATTCCACCCCAGAAAAAGCCTGTGTAGAGAATATGTGCTGTGGCTATCAGGAGGACCGTGAGTGGTCTAAGTCCAATACGATGGGGGGTGGGTGGCAGTCATTGGCAGCGAGGGATGAGACTAGAGAAGTAGCAGTGCACAAGACCATGCGCAAGAGAACCAGCACTTAGCCTCCCTCATCCTCTCTTATGAAGCTTACAGATTATGAAACACATAGACTTTACCAAGCCATCGATGCTAAACACATTAGACTCAGGCAACCATGTGTGGGTTGTGTGCTTAACAAATGCAAGAATTACTTTTCATCAAGACCTCCCCGCCCCAGGGTTGTGTAATGTATCAGCCCTGGAGGAGACTCAAGACCTACTTGAGAATGCTACTCGTTACCATGTGCCGCACACCTTATATGTGTAATCTTATTTTAATCCTCACAACAGTTCTGCAAGAGGAAAATTATTTCCTCTGTTTTATAGATGAGGAAACGGGCTCAGACAAATCAAGGCCATGCAGTGAGTGAGTGACGCCATTCAGATTCAATCCCAGGTTTGTCTGGCTCCAAGGTCCACTCCCCGCCTCCATTCTATTCAACACCTCCCTCCCAGAGAAGCTTCTGGTTGGGTTGGGAGATCCAAGAAGACTGCCTGGTAGAGGTGGGCAATGATCCCATTCTTAGAAAATGAGGATTTAGCCAAGCAGACAAGAGGAAGAAGAGCCTTCTTTGTGAGCATAAGCAGTGAAACAGGGGGAAGAAGCATACTGTGCTGGAGGGCAGACACTGGGGGCTGTTGCTCTAACTGCTCAAGGTGAGAAGAAAGAAGTGGAGTAGATGGGGAAAGGAGTTGAAGAGTAGGAAGAGATGAAAGTGAGAACCATTTCAAGCAAAGAACAGCAAGACTTCAGTCCTTTTAGCCTACAAAACAGTTACATGTCTATAGAAGCCCCATTCAAGATTAAGAGGTAAAATAAATAGTGCCGGCAAATTTGGAGGCTGGAAGACTCCAGAGCAGAGAGAGCAAGCTTCATGGAGAGCATAAGACTTGAGCTAAATCCTGCTCTGACTGTGAAAAACGAAGAAAGTGTCGCCAGTTAGAGCCTAAGAAACTCAGAAGACATGTTAAGCTCTGGATTTAAGTAGGGAAATTGGAATGAGGGTAGAGGACAGAAGTGAAGATGAGTCCAGGTTGGACACGTTGAGTTTGGTAGATGATAATAACATCCCAGTGGATATGACCAGGAATGAGCTCAAGAAATCAGAAAGGCTCAATACTGGGCGATCCAGGCTTGGAGAGGTCACATACATCCAGGCAGGTAGGACCACTGTCAGAATTCCCTAACACTCACTATTCAAGGCAGTTAGGAAAAGCAACAGATACATCAAGGGAGACAGAACAGAAGGGGTCAAGAGGTGGAAGAAGTGTGACTCAGAATTCCAGGGAAGGGAGCTGAGTGGGCTCTATTTTCCAATGCAACAGACAAGTGAAGGTGAAGGTAAGCCTAGTCATCATGGAGCTGGGAGCCTTTGAACTAGGCTTTAAATCAGAGGATTTCATTAGGTGAAGTTGGAGAGGAAGAGCATCTTAGGCAAAGGAAACCACGAGAGGGATCCCTGGGTGGCGCAGCGGTTTAGCGCCTGCCTTTGGCCCAGGGCGCGATCCTGGAGACCCGGGGTCAAGTCCCACGTCAGGCTCCCGGTGCGTGGAGCCTGCTTCTCCCTCTGCCTGTGTCTCTGCCTCTCTCTCTCTCTCTGTGTGTGTGACTATCATAAATAAATAAAGAAAGAAAGAAGAAAGAAAGAAAGGAAACCACGAGAACACACATGCAAAGCAACATCGTGGTTGAGAATCATATTTTGCCTGAGTAAACGTCTCAGAATAATTAGGCCTAACTCTTCAAATCCAGGCGTAACCTGCACATGTTGACTTGGACTTGTCATTCCTTAGAAGACATGCGCCTCAAACATTTCGGCTACGGGTTTGGTCTTCTCCGCTTGACCGTATGCTTGCTTGAGCGTGGAGGACCCTCTCCTATTTGCTTGTTCCTTCCTTTTGCTTTTTTGCTTACTAGCACTTGGCAGGCACTCAATCCAGTTGACTATGTGACTGGTACTGAAGAAGGGGCTGGGGGTCCATAAGCATAGGAGCCATTCCAAAGATGGGAAGATAAAACTGCTATAAACACCACCACCACCAAAAAAAAAAAATGCATTTTGAATTGCGCTAATTTACTTACCTTTTGAAATCCCAATGCTAAAAGAATATTTCCCTCCTTTATGGTGATAATGTTCACTCTGTTTTTAAGATGACAGGACTTCTAAAAAAATTGGCCATATAGTGTTAATCATATCTGTAATAATAAGAAGAAATGTTTTATTGCCATCAAGAGGAATGCGCATTTTCATCTTTCTTTCGATCTCTGGGAAAGCCAAAAATGTCTGAAACCATTTGTTATGGTAATCGCTTGTCAAATATTTAAAAATTAGAGCCATGGGGCGCCAGGCTGGCTCAGAAGAGCATCTGACTCTTGATCTCGGGTCACAGGTTCAAGCCCCACGTTGGGTACAGAGATTATTTAAAAATAAATTAGAGCCATAATCTGTACACTTAAAAGAGGGTTGAAATGGCAAATACTATATTTATTTTAATACAGTTTTTTTAAATCACCAACAAAATTAGAGCCATAATAAGATTTTTCATCCATAAAAGGAGCCTCAAAGTAACATTAAAACTTTTACTCCTATAACCTGAAAATGGCAAACCAGATTTTTTAAGCATGTAAATTACATGTAAATATCAAGGGCAAAAAGTCTTTTATCCCTAATTTTAAAACAATAGTGCATTTTGGAGATGCGTGTAAGTACACCCATCCCTCCACCTCTCCACAATAATGAGAGCCTGTTTGGTCTAGCATTAAACTAAGCACAGCGCTATTCACGCACACACACACACAGGCACACATGCCATGTTTATAAGAAATTCATTATCAAAGGACAAGTGTTTATTATAAAGGGAAAGCTTTCACAAAAACCTACTTTAATTCTAATTATTATTAATCTCTATGATTGATCCCTATGATATCCCATTTAAATTGTCACGATAGGGGTGCCTAGCTGGCTCAGTCAGAAGAGTGTCTGACTCTTGATCTCGGGGCCATAAGTTCGAGCCCCACTTTGGGTGTAGAGATTACTAAAAAAAAAATAAATAAAACTTACACAAAAATAAAT